TATATGCATTTTCTGTGCTGTTCTGTACAACACGTGAGGAATGCTAATCAGCATTTGAAAGGAAACGTGGGCTTTCAAGAAGACCAAAATGCAAAATGGGAATATATATTCCCCTACCAAAAAGTCCAGTAGAACTTATGAGTCATAACTCCCACTTCTTTCACCCCTACCCCTGACATTTCTGACTTAATATACCATCATCCTCAAAGGATTGGGGATCTTTCAGGTTTGGGATTTTTTTTTTTCCTTTTAGTAAAGGAATCAAGAACATAAACAACAAGTAAACCTAAAGGTTAAATAAAACTGAGTAACAGCTGACATCTCCCTTCCCCTGCCCTGAAAGTCAGTTTTTGGGTTCACACAAACGCAGCTTGTCCCAGAAGAACACTCAAATTCACATGGATCTTCTCGGGGCTGCTGAAATCCTGGTGGCACCGTGACCCAATTTAAATTTATCTCCTGCCTGGCAAGGGATGCTGAAGCACTGCAGGGCTCTGAGTGCCGGGGGGAGCACAGAGGAGAGGGGAAGGACTGCAGCAGCACCAGCCAGCCCTGGGATGAGGCAGCTCTGTGAACACACAGCTGCACTGGCCAGCAGTGGGGCATCACACACTCTAAGGGGCTGGGCAGAGGAGTGACTGCAGCAGGAGGAATAACCAGGACACAGAGCCCCAGGTATTCTCAACAAAGATCATTTCTTGATCCTGAGCACAGGCAGCTTGAAAACAGCCAGGGTGGTGCAACAGGAAAGGAGTTTATTTATTTATACTGTATTTTCACCCTAATTGGCTCATCCTGCATCCATCTAGCTCTGCTAGATCCACTTAAGGAAACACAGAGCCCAAGGTAACCTAACAAGGTAACAAATCACCAGCTGGTTTGTTTATTCAGAAATATCAACTGCTTTAACTCCAACAAAAGCAAAGGAGCAAGCAGGACACCCATCCCTCATAAAAAAGCAAACATAACAAAGGGAGCCAAGCAAGCAGGATAGTAAGTTTGGATTTTAAATCTCATTTAAGACTGTGTAGGCTCTGACCCCTACACCGCTCTCCTGCCTTATGAATGCCTTTAGCATCCACTCAAAAACCCCTGTGTCCCTGTGGCACTGCCCCCTCAGACACACAGAGGGACTGGGCAGGGAACCTGCCTCTCAGGCTGGACACCCAAACTGCTCAGCTGTTTAATCCTTATTAAAATATAAACTGTTCAGCACCTCTTCAAAAAAACCCCAAGCTTCTTGCATGCTGTGAACAAGATCTCTTTACTGAGAGCTTTACTTTTAATTTTGAACAGCTTCGCAGCATTATCCTTAGCAGAAAAAAACCAACAACAACCAAGCCTGGAGATTTCTGAGCTACTCAGTCAACAGCCTGAGTTCCTCACCGAAATCAGCTTCTCCTAGCAGCATCACATGAGAATTGCTGGTCTGCATCTCTTCCACAAATCATTTCACATTTTTTTAAAGATGGACAAAGTGCTGATTTCATTTCACTGAAAACTGAAAGCCCAAAAGCCATCACTGCTGGTGGTGAGACCCCCAGTATCAGCATTTACAGTATTCATTGTGCTAAGGACATTGGCTCCAAGTTTCAGCAGCTCAGTGCTCCATCCTTGCTTTTTCTATATTTTTTAATCTCATATGGGAAAAGAGTAATAATTCCTAACTAAAAAAAACCCACGAACAAACAAGCAAACAAAAAAAACCCACCAAAAAAAAAAAAAAAAAAAAAGACACTGATGAGGTACAAAGTGGGGAAGAGTCCTAAGCTCCCTGAAACACATAAACCTTAAAATTAAAATCTTAGTTCATGATGTCAGTAGCCAATTACATCATAGGTGGCACATAATTAAACTTATAAAGGGGTTTCGTTATTTTGGTTTTATGTTGGATACTGAAAACCAGCGCATTATTTGNAAAAAACTCCAGAAATCATACTAAACATGCAGAACAATGGGCTGGATTCATTCAAAATTCTTAGTGTCACAACACTGAAGTGTTTCACTAGGAGATACAAATTTTAACTTCCTTCAAAGCCTGAAGTTTAGCTGTTATTTTGGAAAAAAAAAGCAAGCTATATAAACCAATACCTTTTCCAAACAAGCAGAAAAAATACTTTTTCAAACGATTTTTGATCCTACTTTGAATGGCAGATCTTATTTTCATTTAAACACTTTTCTATAGTACTGGAAACTGAAAAGAGTTTCTAAATGAAGAGTGGAAAAGTAAACTGCCTCATTTCATTATCTCAGGAGTAAAACGACAAAAGCAAACAAAAACCCACCTGTGCTTTTCAACTGCACCTTTTATGTCATTGCAATGCATTCCATCAATTTTGTGCTGAATATACCTCGAGTGATTTCTCGTTGCTTTCTGCCTGTCTCCAAATGCACACCTTCCAGAGGGGCTGGCACCAGGCAAGCAAACACACAGGCACCCCAATTCCTGATTTCACATCAAAAACTGCTTTGAAAATTTCTGCCTATTTTCTTCCGATTGTATGGCTGCACTTTTGGGAGGTCAGGTTGTTACGAGGAAGAATTTCCAGGTATCTTGCATACTTCTAATTTCTACTGAATTTAACTCAAAGATGCACATCCTGCAAAGAGTTCTAGCAAATTCTCTAGAAGGCAAGCCAAAATCACTGCTGATATGTTAAGAACTAAAAAAACCTCCCTATACTGACAACATTTTTTTTCCCTATCAAGTGTTGTTGGGAAGCAAATTTTCAGTGTTGGTGGCTTCATTTTTATTAGTAAAACAGGGAAGAAGTGCTATTAAGGGAGGAGCTTGGTTCTAATCTGAACTTCGAATTGCCTTAAAGAAACCAAGCAGCTTTACATTAGTGTAAGAAAGGTGCAAGATGAAAACCAAGCCTGTGGCAGTGCTCCATCATGACATGATTTCTTTATAATGAAATATAGTGAAAGAAAATTAGTGGCACAAAGATTTTAATGCACCCCAGACACACATTTACAATGATTAAACAGATCAGTACTTGTAAAACCCAAGGGTCTAACTTTACAAACCTTTACTCAAGCAAGCAGTTTCACCAAAATCAATGGGATAATTTGCATATGTAAGGCTATTTATCTCAGCTGGGATCTGTAGGTTTAGGCCACACATTTCTATTTAGATCTTCTATGCAGCAGAAACCACAAAGTTGTATGAAGAACGAGAGAACACTGCACCTTGGAGTTAATTTTCATTTATACCAGTATAATTTTCTCCGTCCCTCTGACGCATTTGATAAACCGGCATGTTTCAAAATTGGATATGTTGGCAAAAATACAAATTTCCTGATGGGAAGAATACTACTCATGGATAATAAACAAAATCAATTCTTATTTGCATATTCAATCAGATTTTGGTTTGCATATAAAAGCATAAGATGGTAGAATTTTCACACGGTAGATGGATCCTGCTCGCTTATTCATGCATATATGCATCCACTAATCCTTACACATGCCAAAGTCAGTCAGAAATACTCTCTTTGCTAGGCATTCATAGCACAAAAACACTGTCCCTGCTGCTGTTCTCAACCTTCTCTTCTCGTACAGCGTATGACAGCACTCTCCCACGGCTTTCTCCCAAGACTCCCTAATAGCCCCTGCTCTCTATTAGTCTTCTTTTCACTAGGCAAAGTGGTAGTTTGAATTTTTGAATCATAATTTAAAAGGGATGCTGTCAACTGTATATGAAGAACAAAAAACACTGGACCAGATTTTCAAAGGCGCTTCAGCCTGGACTTGACAATTTCGCTTGTTACTGTCACTGCAAAATTGAATGTATCTCTCTGGCAATGCTGACACATCCTAGACTACAGCTAAAACTTGCAGATTTAGACTATGCCTACCTATTTTTCACACGCATCTATTAGGAAACAGAATTCAAAATATCTATATGGTCTGGTACTATCAAAATAGGCAATATTAATATTGCCTCATACCCCGTAAGGCTGGTAATAAATAATACCCTGTAAGCTACGCTGCGAGGGGCTGAATGCCTGCAACATCTGTGGGACCTGAAGGCAATCAGCACTCTGAGCCATCAGATAACAGGTTTGACGGTCTTGTAGCCAGTCTGACAGTCTGGATATCTCATTTGCATTTAGAAGAGTGTCATATTCAAATGTATATAATTTTGTGCATTAAATTAAAAATTCAACTGGAACCCTGTGCGTTAAATCCTAGCTGGCTGCAAACTAAGAAATGTTTTCATGTAATTAAAGAAAAAGATCAAACAAATTAGCATCAAAACGAAATGGCAATCTGCTGCTGCAGCCTTTGCCCTTACTAGGTCAAGCATGGGGTACCAAAAAAGCAGAGCTGCCCGGGATATCTGAAATAATCTCGTATACACAGAAACAGCATTTCCCTCTCCCAGATGAATGAAACGCAAAAATCATTCAGCATGAAGTTGAAAGCTCATATAGGATTTCTACAGCAATGCCAGCTCTGATCAATCGAAACATTGTCAGCAGCAGGTTAAGGAGGTATTTATTTAACTAGGGGACAGAATCTAATTGACTTTCCAGGAGAGGAGAGCGAGCAGGCGCCCACTCGTTCCGCTCGTTGAATCAATCTTACACAGCCCTTTTTCAAGAGGGGCAGGAGCACAACCCTGTCCTCCCCCAGCACGTGTTTTGCCCTCTGCAGACACCAAGGACATCCTTGTGTCCCTGTACAGGGTGTCCCCTGCAAAGAGCAGAGCTGCTGGTGGCCCGGGGGGGGAACAGGGCAGGTGTGCTTCTGCAGACTGCCTCCCAGCGTCCTGCAGCACAGCCGGCTCCCAGACACAGCACCCAAACCCTGCTCTCTCTCCCTGCCTCTGAAGCATTTAAACTATCCATATAAATCACCAGAAAATAAGGGTTTGACCCAGTTACACATCTTCGGGCTCCTCGCATTCATTTGCTAATGCTAAATGTAATGGAAATCACAGCTTTCCTAAAAAACAGGCGGCAGAGATGGAAGGGAATTGCTGTTGATGGCCCTACCTGCTTGGTTCGTTGTCACAGTGACTGACACAGCCTGGTCCTGGCTGGGGTTTTGCTTGGACACCCCATTCACCGCCCAGACCTCAAAGGTGTAGTTGGTGTGTGCCAGGAGGTCAGTGATGGAGACCTTGGTGGTTTTCAGGCCGTTCTGCTGGGGGCTGAAGTGCACCCCACTGCCGCAGGAGCGGCAGCGGCTCAGCTCGCCCGCCCCGCACCGCTTGCACACCACGTTGTAGGAGATGTCCTCCCGACCGCCCTTGTTCTGCGGGGGGCTCCACTCCAGGTTCACGGAGGTCTCGTTGACATTGGAGATCAGGTGCTGGGGAGCAGATGGAGGGCCTGAAACGACAAAATCCACGTTTTTAGTTAAGGGAAAAAAAAAAAAAAAAAAAAAAGCTTACATAGAAACACCGGAGTTAAGGGTCCCTTACCCTGTGCAACTCCCATTTAAATTAAGGACAGCAAAGACCAAGCAGAATTTTCCTTCTCTATGTTCATAATGAAGGCAAAAAAATTTAACTGGTAAGTCAAACTCTGATCTCTTCATCTGATGAGCTAACAGTATTTTCCAGCTCTAAATGAGCCTGAAAGCTCAGTATTGCAATTAAACAGGAGTGGGACTTTTTCCCTTTCACTGTTTATACTCGTTATGAAAAATGTTAAATTAACATATCTTACACTCACTTTTTCCATGATCTCCTAAGCAGCAAACCATCAAATGCACAAACTTCTGCTTCACTTGAGATTTTCAAGGTCCCCCATTACCTACAGGCAGACTCTCATTGAAATTATTATAGAAATAGCTCATGATATATTTTTCTGAAAAATGTAAGTGCAATATTTTCCAGACAAGTCGATGTCAAATCATTAAATGAATACTGAAGCCTATCAAGCAGGGACCTGAACATGACACTTCAGCATGCAGGATGGAGATTTGAGTAAAAAGCCAGACACAAAATTAAGGCTTTGAAGGATGAAAAATAAAGTTTGTAACAGGGGAGCTGGAGAAAGTGAAAGAACTGGAGAGGAAAATATGGTGAGCACCTGAAGGAAGAACTGATAAAAGAAACCTGGTCAGAAACAAGAGACCAGACGAAAAGCTTGGCAATAAGGCTGGATTTGAGACACAAGGTCAGCTTTTCCACCTCGGGGACGGGAGACTTCAAGATTCATAAGAATGCTGCCAGAGAGCTCCCAGCTGGTTCCAACACAGGGACGATGGGACCAGAGCACAGAGCTGAGGGCAGGCTGGGCAGAGCCCAGGGCCAGCAGCACCTCCTGCATCTCTGCAGAGCTGCGTGGCCAGCCCTGCCAAACCACGCACGGGCACAAATCCTATTGATGTGCTTCAATCCCCAGGGCCCCAAACCCACAGGCAAATTGAAAATGCAGCAGAGCTAATCCTGCAACTCTTAATCTAATTTCAATACAGTTGAGACACGCTTTTTGTACCCTTACATTTAAGACGGCTGATTCACTGAGCCCATGAAAGAGACGGGTATTTTATCCATCCCAAAAAGCTTCCCTGACCATCAGCAGGCAGCCTGCTCTGGGACAGAGCACACGGGTACTCTGACACACACAGTGCTTTGGGATAGGGCTACAGGTAAGCACTGCATCAAACACAAATGAAACTGGATGAGAATGAAGATTGCAAAATGTACCAGTCCAAACCAGAACACAGTAAAAATAGCTGCACTGACTAACTACAGATAGTTAGAGCTTTACATACAAATATTATTAGCAGAAAAATACTGGAAATAATTCTGTAGAAAGTCACAAACTCAAGACACAAGAAAGCCCATGAAAGCTTTGTAGATTTCATTAAAATACATTTGATGGTTGCAATTCAAAAGAAGTTCAACTAGATCTTCTTGCAGAAAAGGAAGGAAAGGAGAAAGTTCTGGCAAATTAGTCAAACATTATGAAACTATGAACCTGGCAAAGAAGAATCAGCCAGCACCAACAGTTTCATTAAGTGTATAAATAAGTAAGTCATAATCTCTCATATGCCAAAGGTACAAAAACAGTCACTGTGGTAAGACAGGAACCAAATACATTGAAAAAGTGAAATCTACTGAAATTACAAAGTGACTCATGAAGTGTAACAGCAAAAAAGTTAAACTGTTAAGGGATGACTATGGGGAAGATTAATTGTGGCTCCTTCCTCAATTCATCAGGTTCATCTCAAAGAAAGCCTGAGCCCTGAATGGGGTGCATAGGACAAGGTTTTGAGAGGTGCATAATCTCCTCAGGTCTGTGCTTGAAGATCCACCAGGGTGTAAACATGCTCAACAGGAGACAGGACTTTTATTTTGAGAGAGGTAAGTAGGTTAAGAAAAGAGTCTAAATGACAAAGAAGTCAAATGGGTCTTCAGTACCTAAATGAAAGGTCTCTGTTGCAGGAGTAGCTAAGCAAAGATTGTTTGTCTGTGTTTACTTCAAAAATACAAAATTAATGTATTTATTTTGACAGGAGGGAAATCCTCCCTTCCTGCCAAACCTTTGAAACAGTCTCTGAGTTAATCGGGGTTGACAGGTAGAATTACTGCAAGAAGAGAGAGCTGAGTCCAGCCCCTAAGCCAGGGAGCCCTCCTGCCTGCTGCACCACCAGGCTGCCATTCACGGCTTTTATTTATGCACTGGCAGCATTTCGGACTCCTGAGGACAAAACCCTTCTACTCAAAGATCAGTTACTGAACACAGTAAGAGACCTTTCCTGATCCAAAAACTAGATGAGAAAGAAAAAGGAAAGAAACTGGTTTTAATCTCTATTTGTCATGTGAAAATGGAAGCAGAGAGAGATGTGGTGAGACAAGGGCACACGAGACATGCTTTGCACATCTGGGCAGTGGTCAAAACTGCCCCAAGTCCCAGCCCAACGCCTCTGTCCCATAACCAGCTCTCCTTCCCCCAAAGGCTGGCTTTGCCAGCTCCCCTGGGTACAAGAAAGTGGTCTCTGCTTAGCCTGCAGAGCTTTCTTTTCGGAAACAAACTCTGAGTGCAATGAGGTGGAAGACACTCCTGAAATCGTGAACTCAAGCAGCAGCACAGGAACTGCTGAGCAGGAACTGAACCAAACTCTCTCCAGCTCAGACTTCCCCAAACTGCCTCACACCTGGGCTCTCTTCAGGGCAGGCAGGTGCACAAAGTGACAACACCTGTCCCTCTGCACTGTCAAGGGAACAGCAAAACCAACAAAAGCCTCTGGGGGGAACAGCAGCCTCAGCAAGCCCAGGTGCACATTGCACAGTGAAGGTCTGCCCTGGCCAGGGCAGCAGCCAGAGACACTGGGAGCTGAGGCTGTGTGCCCTGAATAGAAACTGCTCCTGTGGGAAACACTGAGAGCCTGATAGTGAGAAAAAGCAAAAGGCGTTTTCTTAGAGAGCGTTCACTCGCTGCAGTCACACACACACGAGCATCGACCCGGAGTGCAGCCAGGAGAGCTGAGGTGAGGTGGTGCCAGTGCAAACACCTTCCCCAAGCTGCACCAGCTCTGCCAGGGCCAAGAATTTCCCCATGCCAGTGGGGAATTCCTGAAGCAAAGACCGCCATGGGAGGAGGGCTCATAGTGCCACAGCTGCGGTCTGAAAGATGTGCCTCTTAGCTCAGATACAGCAGCCAGTTCGGGGTTAAACTCAGACTTAGTCTGATGTCCATTAAGATATTTTCCAAGGCTCTAGGTCCAGTTTCACATGGGAAAATGTGCCAGAATGAATCAAGCTCCTCAGAAGCAAAAAGTCAGTAATTAGTATGTGGGACAGGGCAGTGCAGTGTCTAAACAGAGATGCGACCAAGCGGAAAACCAGGGAAGCAGATGCTTGCAGGTCACAGAGATGAGTGCACCACCTCCAGCATGAAAAGAAAGATGTGGGGGAGTCTCCCAAGTGCTGGGCTGACATTACAGTGAGGGGAAAAGCAATTTCTTTTCTTCCTGGAGCACAGTCATCAATGGAGCTGTTGGCACAGGGAGTGGGGACTAGCTTCAGATTGATGGGCCTGATTTCAGATGTTGAAACACAGGGTGTATCTGCTCCTTCAATGGTGATCAGGATTTGCTTCGTTTCTGACAACAGAGCCCCTGCTGACAGATGAGACAAACCCTTTCAGGGCTGTGGCAGGCTGCAAAGGCCGGGACAGTACCTGCATGAACCCACCTAGCAGGATCCCACAGGAGCAGCATCCTGACAGCCACACCATTGCCCTCTCACAAACCCGTGTCCTCTGGCAGAAAAATCTAGCTACGGGGCAAATGAGAGAGGAGACAGGGACCTGTGCCTCTGAATCACCACCACCATCTGTAATTTTGTCACAAGTCCCATGATCTACAGCGATTTTCATAAATCTCCTGCCAATGGAAGTATGCTATTGCTATTTAGCACTGTGGAAGAATGGAGCTAATGCTGTCACACTGCCTAGAACAGTTTGAAAATGTGACAGTTCCTACAGGAAATCAAATTTAAATCTAAACATGTTAATTCTGAAAACAAACTAATTTTAAAATTTAATTTTATGATGTTAGGAAGGCAGGTGCTGTTGTTTTCCCTGCACAGGACAGCAGAATCTGAGGGATGGATGTGCACAATCACTCAGTCTCATGTCAGTGGCTGCAGAGGGGACACAGTTTGATCATGGGGCCTGAAAGCCGGATCTCTGTCCAGCCCCTTGAACCAGCACCCTGAACGGACAGGGGGGACTCCTCTTTGGGAACACAGGGAACGGAAGTTTTCAATTTTATTCCTTCCTGGGGCTCCATAAATCCTGCTTCACAATAAACCCATCAAAATCAAGTGAGCCATGAAGCAAATGGGAAGGCCCTGGGTGGAGCAGTTCATTGTGTGTGTCAGGGCTGAGGGAAACATTGAAGAGTCTGTTTAGCAACAAATAATCTTCATCAGGCTAATCTTGCTATCTCCCTCAACCCTCCTATTAGATTTCCTTAAATGTATTGGGCAATGTGGATTGTTTGGCTTTCTGTTGCTGCAATAGGCTATAGCCATTACAGCTATCTGTCTTTCATCCACAGATAGAGAGATCTGTCTGTCTTAAGGACAATGTTGTACCCTATGCCAAACAAACATTCACAAAACGAGAGTTTTTAAGGTGTTAATAGCATAAGCACTACTTGTATTAAAAGAACTGATGTATTTTAGCACTCCTTCTACAACTTCAGGCAGTATTTTAACTTTTCATCCATCAACATTTCTCTTCCCTCCCTTCCTACACTCGTCTCTCTCCAGTCAGAAGCCTCCCACACACGCCTGTACAACTGACAAGGACCTGGTGAAAACCATGACAAGGGCTCATACCAACCCCTGACTGTCTCCTTCCTCCCTTCC